ATGTATAAATACCAGAGCAATACAGCATAGTACAGCAGTCTGATCTATCTGGATCATACGTTGTCTACTTCACACCCTACTCTCTCTCTGAGTTAACCACTCCCAAGACAAGCCCTCCAAAAGCTTTACTCTTGTAACTACCAAAACTACAAGTGAGTATTGGGGTTAGGGTTAGAGTTAGGGTCAAGGACGATACCTTGACATATAGATCAGACTATCCTATTCGTTGACTGTCATTGTCGACCACCTTCCTTCTTTTGTGTCAGTCTCGATTGTTTACAGATAAACTCATTCCTTCAGGAAGTGTCGTCGCACACTTCCCAATTTGCCCAGGACCTTCAAGAAGAAGCTCGTACCCCATCCCCCTCCTCCTTCCCATTCTTTGGGACACCTACCAAACAGTTACAATCCGTCAAAGGACGTCTAGTGACTCTTGCGGCTGGAGGTCTCAATAGACCTGCTGAAGAAGAACTCTTTAGAGAGTATATTGGACTAGCGGAGACTCTTCAAGAGGCCATCCGATTAGGAGAACAGGATCCGGAAGTAGCAGAAGAAGTTCAGGCAAGCGAGTCGCCTATTCCCTCATCACCCTATACCCCAGCAGTGGTTCTTACGACATATCGCGGACTCCCCTGATTTAGTAGAAATCTCAAGGAGTCAAATTGCGATCTGCAGGGTCTACAGCATAAGACGGGCTACTCATTATTGAGTACGACGCAGCAAGAACAGATCCGGTTTTTGATAAGACAGATAGGAGGCATCCTATCAAATATCAATTACCGCGGTGCAGACATATACAGACCGATAACCAGGAGGTTACTTGTTCAGTTCATAAATCGAGTCAGGGACAAGTTTGGTGACGCCAGGTATAGGAACCTTGGGCGATTAGTGAAGGAGATATTGAGAGAAAGTGATCACACGGAGCTGGGCAGAGACAGTGTTATTTGGAATAACACTCTCTGAAGTTTATAAATATTCAATTGGACTTCAGTAGTAAACCAAGGACGCTTACTACGAAATTGTACCACTATCCCCAATTAAAATATGTCGACATCTTCTACACCCATACCAATGGCTGGTATCGAACCAGACCTTTCTTGGTATCTATTAAACCCTCAAATTGATGAGAGAGTAATAGCCAGATACTATCCTGGAGAAAACAATTAAGTTACTAGAAGAGCTTGGAAGGAGATTCTTGAATCTACCACCATATTTCTCCAACTAGAAATTCAAAGAGTTTTTAAGGATGTATTCACGCTAATTGGGCAATCGGAGCGAAGAATTTCAGACCAACAGGCTGAAATAACGGCTGCCGATGTATGCCTGGCTGCAGTAGAAAATGCGAATATACAATTGAGGACAGATTATAATGCGCTTGTAGAGCAATTAAATCAACATGTGGCACAAGTGGCCCAACTACCGGCAACATAGATGTCGCACGAACAAGAGGAAAGGAGGTTCAGGATTGCGCAACCAGGAAGGTTCGCAAACAATTCAAAGGAACAAACCTTTGAGCAGTTTGTAGAAAAACTGGCTGTATGGTATGTACACCAAAGAGTGACTTCGGACAGAGACCGAATCACTGGTGTACTTGCTTTGTTGGAAGGCCGTGCCCACGTAGTGGCCAGTAATTATTATCGCATGGTCAAAGACTCCAAAGATTTGGGGAAATATGAAGATTTCCTACACCAAATGCGGAGGGCCTTTACCACAACGGATCAAGAGGAGGATGCACGTCAAGAGTTCTTGGGAATGCTCAAGAAATACGACAAAGTGGCGGCAGGAGACACTGCCAAGTTCATTGGAGAATTCAGAGGTCTGGCTGACCTCGTGAATTCAACTGATGGTGAATTAATCCTAGCAATCAGAGATCGATTGCACAGAGAAATTAAAAATGTCCTTGCGGCCAGAGGAAGTTCCCAGTGGCCCAAGAAATGGTCAGAGTACTGTGATTATGTACTCGACATTTGCAAAGACATGGGAATACACCAGTCAGTATCTTCAATGGGACCCACACCTAAAGATCCGAATGCCATGGAGGTGGATAATACATCCAAGCAGAAGCAGTCTGGCTCCAGACAAACTCAACAGCAAAGGAGCGCTCCTGATCCAAAGAAGCGACAGGAGGGCAATGCTTTGAGTATGTAGGAGACGCAGAAAAAAGGCGTATGCTACATTTGCGGCAAGCCAGGACATTGGGGCAGAACGTGCCTGAATAAGAAACCAGGAGACTCTGCGGCTAGACCCACAGCAGCAAACACGGCTTCTAGTACTGGAGGAAAAGGGAAATCACTGGATTTCTCTAAGCCTCAGTTTAGAAGGATTTGACAAATTGAATTGTCTAGTGACAATGACTCGGATGTAGAAATTCAAGTTGTGCGAAAATCAAAGGGAACTGGCAACCCTTCAAAACCAGTAAAGGCCATTGAAGCGGCAGCAGTTACACCAGAAGTTGTACCGGGCCCTTCAAAGAAAAAACACAGGAAGGTCAAGATCACGAAGATCATTGAACCTTCACGCTTGCCAAGTCCATCAGGTCATATCTCGGAGGTAGATTCTGATGAGGATAATGAGCGGGGTTTTGGTTGACGCCTGTTGTAGAGACTACCGGACAGTCAGGCGTAGAACACTCTTTCCATTGTAATCACATTATGAGAGACCAGTCAGAAATTTGTAAAATAGCCGATGAAGCGTGCATATTTAACTCGTCAAAGACAAAAAACAAATTTACTGTGCCTGTGGTCATAACAGCAAAGGGAAAGAAAGAGGTAGTAACAAATGCACTAGCTGATAGTGGTGCATTTTCAACATTTATCAACCGCCGGTTTGTCAAGGATAATAACTTGTTCGAAGAGGATCTACCACATCCTTTCACCGTTATTAATGCTGATGGATCTGTAAATCGTGGAGGTCGTATAAAACCATGGTCATGGCTTTTCTCAAAATCGGAGATCATGAGAGCAAGCATGCATGTTTAGTGACGGACCTTGGATCTAAAGATATGATTATCGGAATGAATTACCTCCGAAAACATAACCC